AACCTCTTATAGGCCTACATATGAACAGTCGCTATACCTTAGTACATAACCTTTCTTATAGGCCTACATATGAACAGTCGCTATACCTTAGTACATAACCTCTTATAGGCCTACATATGAACAGTCGCTATACCTTAGTACATAACCTCTTATAGGCCTACATATGAACAGTCGCTATACCTTAGTACATAACCTCTTATAGGCCTACATATGAACAGTCGCTATACCTTAGTACATAACCTTTCTTATAGGCCTACATATGAACAGTCGCTATACCTTAGTACATAACCTCTTATAGGCCTACATATGAACAGTCGCTATACTTTAGTACATAACCTTTCTTATAGGCCTACATATGAACAGTCGCTATACCTTAGTACATAACCTCTTATAGGCCTACATATGAACAGTCGCTATACCTTAGTACATAACCTCTTATAGGCCTACATATGAACAGTCGCTATACCTTAGTACATAAACTCTGATATAGGCCTACATATGAACAGTCGCTATACCTTAGTACATAAACTCTTATAGGCCTACATATGAACAGTCGCTATACCTTAGTACATAACCTTTCTTATAGGCCTACATATGAACAGTCGCTATACCTTAGTACATAACCTGTTATAGGCCTACATATGAACAGTCGCTATACCTTAGTACATAACCTTTCTTATAGGCCTACATATGAACAGTCGCTATACCTTAGTACATAACCTCTTATAGGCCTACATATGAACAGTCGCTATACCTTAGTACATAACCTTTCATATAGGCCTACATATGAACAGTCGCTATACCTTAGTACATAACCTTTCTTATAGGCCTACATATGAACAGTCGCTATACCTTAGTACATAACCTCTTATAGGCCTACATATGAACAGTCGCTATACCTTAGTACATAACCTTTCTTATAGGCCTACATATGAACAGTCGCTATACCTTAGTACATAACCTCTCTTATAGGCCTACATATGAACAGTCGCTATACCTTAGTACATAACCTTTCTTATAGGCCTACATATGAACAGTCGCTATACCTTAGTACATAACCTCTTATAGGCCTACATATGAACAGTCGCTATACCTTAGTACATAACCTCTTATAGGCCTACATATGAACAGTCGCTATACCTTAGTACATAAACTCTGATATAGGCCTACATATGAACAGTCGCTATACCTTAGTACATAAACTCTTATAGGCCTACATATGAACAGTCGCTATACCTTAGTACATAACCTCTTATAGGCCTACATATGAACAGTCGCTATACCTTAGTACATAACCTCTTATAGGCCTACATATGAACAGTCGCTATACCTTAGTACATAAACTCTGATATAGGCCTACATATGAACAGTCGCTATACCTTAGTACATAAACTCTGATATAGGCCTACATATGAACAGTCGCTATACCTTAGTACATAAACTCTGATATAGGCCTACATATGAACAGTCGCTATACCTTAGTACATAACCTTTCTTATAGGCCTACATATGAACAGTCGCTATACCTTAGTACATAACCTCTTATAGGCCTACATATGAACAGTCGCTATACCTTAGTACATAACCTCTTATAGGCCTACATATGAACAGTCGCTATACCTTAGTACATAACCTCTTATAGGCCTACATATGAACAGTCGCTATACCTTAGTACATAACCTCTTATAGGCCTAAATATGAACAGTCGCTATACCTTAGTACATAACCTCTTATAGGCCTACATATGAACAGTCGCTATACCTTGGTACATAACCTCTTATAGGCCTACATATGAACAGTCGCTATACCTTAGTACATAACCTTTCTTATAGGCCTACATATGAACAGTCGCTATACCATAGTACATAACCTCTTATAGGCCTACATATGAACAGTCGCTATACCTTAGTACATAACCTCTTATAGGCCTACATATGAACAAATGTCATATCTCTTAATACCCCGGCACATAAACTATACACACACCTATAAGTCATACGAATAAACACAAGTCAAATGGTCACAAACATTACTCCAATCATCAAGTCATCACCCTATACTATGATGAAGGACATCAAACATCAAGTCATTATCCTACACATCAAACATCATCATTCTTCTTTGTCTTACATGAACAATATCAAATATTAATTTTTATTTGCTCTTCGTTGCTGATGAAAGCTTTTTTTTTTCGTTTTCTAGCCGTTTTCAACAAGTCATAAAATGGCTGATGAACGTTTTCAAATCTTCCATGTCCCCTAACCATGTCTCCTAACCATGTCTCCTAACCATGTCTCCTAACCATGTCCCCTAACCAGTTCTCCTAACCTTTCATAATCTTCGCGGAAGTTGACGCATGCGCTAAATTTGACAAAGTGTATCCGGTGTTAATTTATGACACAGCTCCTAACAGTGAAAATAAATCTCTTCGTTTCTAAAGCGGCGTATTAAGGAAGGGCACATAACCCCATAAAGAAAAGGGGATGTAATTCGATGGTTAAGGGCTTTTCTAAAAAGAGAAACAAAGTTCCATAACCCATCACTAAATCCGAGAATCAAACAAGAATTGAGTAGTTAATCTCCCCATCAAATCACCAGTGGTCGAAAGTGTTCTATTAAACACGTCGAGACTAACGTGAAGCCATGCCACTAAGTAACAATGTCATGTGTAGGAGACTAGACAATATGGCACCATCAGATTTTCTTTCAGGCGTCTCTTAGTGACACCCCCCCCCCCCTGTCCTGAGCACGTCAAAAGCCCCCCCTCCCTTCCACCACCCCCAAAGAAGGAAATATAATTTATATAGAAAATATATTTTATGAAAAGCTTGGAATTTTGCCAGATATAGATTTCAAACAATTTTGAAAAAAAAAATTAAAAAAACATTGAATTGAATGGATCGAGACTGACATACATGCCCATCATCTCACAAACAGGCCGCCTGATTTAGCAGAAAGATGTTCTGATTTAAACCTGATTTCCCAATGTTGCTATCCTATTTGCGTGCAGTTTCAAGGACTCATGCAGAAAAATAGTTGGTTAAAACAAATGAAAATTAGCGACGTCACGGAAGTACGAGGAGAGCGATATCAAATATCCGAATACAACAGTACAGCGATAGACTTGTCACCGTTAGTATCTGAAGGTCTAACTGTCTGATCATTTCAGTAGGTACACGTTGTCGTGGTAATTCTAAACAAATTAACTGGGTTCAACAAGATACAGGGGAGACAAGAGAGTCAAGTTAACGGAAAACTCACATCAAATTGTCGTTGTGAGAGAATATCAAGCGCAAGGATCGCACTATTTGTAATAGTAAATAATTATTATTTAAAAATCTTTGATTAAATATTTTTTTTTTATATGAAGCTCCTGTGCTTGTTCAATTATATCATAAAGCCTAGTGCTCAAAAACCTTTAGTAAACAATGCAATGTTTAATAGTAAAAGGGATGCATGATACTCTATAAAAATGTTCTGCGATGGAGGGGGGGGGGAGTATGATACAACAAAGTTTGGAAAACATTGCTACAGTTTGAGATTTGTGTCCATTGTGTTCTGTGCTCCTGTAGATAAAACTACACATACTAGGTCAAAGTTCAATGTTTGGGTCAGTGGGTGATAAGTCAGGAAACTGGGATGCAGATATTATCTGGATGGGAGGGTGTGGCTCTGATATATCTGACGTCTGACACAGGTGAGCTGTCATGATGACTGATGTACAGACACACCTGTCACACCATGTGGGATCTCAGGACATTGTCCTTAGCTCTCATACTTTAAGCCCCAGGAAAATATCCTTAGCTCTCATACTTTAAGCCTCAGGACATTGTACTTAGCTCTCATACTTTAAGCCCCGGGAAAATATCATTAGCTCTCATACTTTAAGCCTCAGGACATTGTCCTTAGCTCTCATACTTTAATCCTCAGGACATTGTCCTTAGCTCTCATACTTTAATCCTCAGGACATTGTCCTTAGCTCTCATACTTTAATCCTCAGGACATTGTCCTTAGCTCTCATACTTTAATCCTCAGGACATTGTCCTTAGCTCTCATACTTTAATCCTCAGGACATTGTCCTTAGCTCTCATACTTTAAGCCCCAGGAAAATATCCTTAGCTCTCATACTTTAAGCCTCAGGACATTGTACTTAGCTCTCATACTTTAAGCCCCAGGAAAATATCCTTAGCTCTCATACTTTAAGCCTCAGGACATTGTACTTAGCTCTCATACTTTAAGCCTCAGGACATTGTACTTAGCTCTCATACTTTAAGCCTCAGGACATTGTCCTTAGCTCTCGTTCTTTAAGCCTTAGGACATTGTCCTTAGCTCTCATACTTTAAGCCCCAGGAAAATATCCTTAGCTCTCATACTTTAAGCCTCAGGACATTGTACTTAGCTCTCATACTTTAAGCCCCAGGAAAATATCCTTAGCTCTCATACTTTAAGCCCCAGGAAAATATCCTTAGCTCTCATACTTTAAGCCTCAGGACATTGTACTTAGCTCTCATACTTTAAGCCTCAGGAAAAAGTCCTTTGGTCACTGGACTTAAGTTTTTCTAACAATCATGTGTTGATTAAATAAAAACAACATGCAACATGTTTTTAAAATAGTTTCAAAATTTGCCGTTGATCTGATTTCTTCTAAGACCAAAGGTTAGCAAGTGCTCATTCAACTTTCGTTTTCAAAGTCTCATTTTGTTTAATTTGCGGAGTTTCTTAATCATTTTGTTTAATTTTCAATGTCTTAATCATTTTGTTTAGTTTGAGAATCAAATTAATTATTTTGTTTATTTTTCTGAGTCTTCCTTAATCTTAACCCTTTAAGGTTTATAACTTTATGTTCTGAGTCTTCCTTAATCTTAACCCTTTAAGGTTTATAACTTTATGAACCCAGTATTGAACTTCCTAATACTTGCGGCAATGTACGCGATAGGGTTAAGTCAATGTACACATTACGTGAATAACCATTTATAGAAAGAATTCCATTGGCTATTTACCTGGAGAAGAGAATTCACTTCCTCGTCACTATCCAGAGCGTGACATAGCTGGTCCAGTGCTTTAATCAAGGCTAATTAATCAGGCTAATTAGTGCTTTAATCTTAACCTCAATCCTCTTGGTATCAGAACTTTGATGTCCGGGCATGGTTGAAATATTTCACAGGTGTCAGCTTGACACGGCTGGATTGTGGGTCGTGACCTCTGACCTAGATTGTGACCCGCATGAGACGTGATCCAAGACCGGTGACGTCAGGAGTCCAGAAATGGTGCCATCACTGGAGTCAGTGACTCGGCTAAAAATGTCCTGCTGGTGACTACATGTCCGAATAGAAGAAACTGGAGTCAGTGACTCCGCTAACACTACTCTGTTGGTGACCACATGTCCGAATAGAAGAAACTGGAGTCAGTGACTCCGCTGACGTTGCGCTGTGGTCAGATGTCCCCATGTAGCTCCCTGCAACTCGACGCCACTCCCGAGAACCTGCGTGTGTTCCTGGCACCATTCAGCGTGTCACTCGCCTAATGTGTCAGTCGCCCAATGTGTCAGTCGCCCAATGTGTCATGCCAAACCCTACACCTGAAATAGACCCGGGAATTTACAAAGCTACCTTTTGCTTCGCACCGCTTTAAATTAACCCGTAACTTCAAAAGCAATTCTTATCTTGCGTGGCAGGTATCGGTGAATAGTTGCAGTATCGATTCTAATAAGCGATCCCCACAAATCGGATAACTGTTGTCTAGACCAGGGGTCTCCAAACTTTTCAGTCCGAGGGCCGCATTTACTATCAAATTTCAGTTCGGGGGCCAGTTAGTTCCTGGCATGTCTTTGATATTATTGGTCAAAGTTCCTCAGCCATCACCAACAAACGTTTTATCCGTGGACAAAAAGATCTCCGCGGGCCGGATGAGAGGACATCGCGGGCCGCATTTGGCCCGCGGGCCGTTGTTTGGAGACCCCTGGTCTAGACGATTAAAGCTCAACTTTACTCTTCACTTTATTAAATACGAACATTCAATACAAAATATTGCCCAATTGTGGTTTGTTTTAAAATCAAACAGAAACTTAATATATTATATGTTCTGTTCACGCAGACAAAATGTGTTTCAAACTACCAACATTTGGTCTATCCTACTTAAACTAGAGCAACAAACTGTTTTTTAAGTTTATTGTTGTATTGTAGTTTTGTTGAATTGTTGTATTTTTGTATTGTTGTGTGAATTTAGTTTGACATGGGTACTCAGGGCTTTACATGGCATCCAGTTGTATTATTGTATAACATCGCTGCGTAATGCACACAATACATGTAGTAGCTGTGTTATGTACACAATGCATGTAGTAGCTGCGTTATGTACACAATACATGTAGTAGCTGCGTTATGTACACAATACATGAAGTAGCCGCGTTATGTAAATGAGTTGATGATGAAGTTGTGTGTTTGACACATTCGCCAGGTTGCTTGAGTGGACAGGTCACGTGGCCTAGATAAATGTGTCGTCTGCCTCCTGTTTCGGTTTTTTAGCTCGATCTGTCAGCAAATCGTGGGGCTCCCACTTCGAGGGTTTTCGTCGAGGCGACGTCATTGTTCTGGCTAGCAGACGTCGTCTGTGTGCGACACATTACTCGTGAGGTCTTGTTACGTCATCCTTCAACACACGAGAAATAAGTCAGGCGACTTTTGCTATAGATCATAACACCCCCCCCCCCCCCAACCCAAAAAAAAGCTCTATACAAAATAAAACAACTTTGGGGTTTTTCAGGCACAGTTCAGGATTGGGCAAGCGAATGGCAGAGAATAAATAGATGAATAAACATATGAATAAACATATGAATAAACAGATGAATAAACATATGAATAAACAGATGAATAAACATATGAATAAACATATGAATAAACATATGAATAAACATATGAATAAACAGATGAATAAACAGAATAAACAAATGAATGAAGCCTTGACATGTCGTGTCGTCACACCGGAGACCGTGGAAATTCCCTTGTATTGAAACATCAAAGGAGATAAACATGTGTCTCAGGGGATATAAACATTGTCTCAGCTCAGGGGAGATAAATCTCAATATTTTGATCTAGAGCACTACGCGACAACCCACTCTACGGCGCGACAACTGGACTCCGACAAAGTAGGGGACAACCCTCTTGCACAACCCTCTAAACGAATCACCGACACACTGACAACCTTCTTGGCGGTATGACAACTGGACCCCGACAAAAAGTGTTTTCTTTAGTTTAGCTATAGCCCATGATTCACACTAACCATGGACAATGGTGGCCAAATGTTGAATCAAACATGACCTTTGATGGCCAACTTTTATTCTGGCCATGACCGATTCACTTCTCGAACCACATGTATCTAAATCTGTGTAGGCCAAAAGAAAAGATCACACATCGAAACGAACGCTTTAATTAATCCACTACACTTTCATGCTTTAAGTAGACTCAATCTATTTAAAGATAATCCGTTTCGCAAAACGGAGTGGACTTTATTTTTAGACTGGATTTTTTTAGCTTGAGTGTGTCATGTCCCCTTTGTTTAGCTGTGACGTAAATTATCCCCCGACACACGGACACATACACACAAACACACACACTTTTGTTTACACACTGACGATGAAATGAAATATGCCCTACTAATCGTACCCGCTTTACACATGCCTTGGCATCGATACCTACATTTTGACGCGATACCGGCATTTTGAATTCCAACCAAAAATAGCCTAATAATAATATCGCGAATATTTTTGTTGAGACAAATTCGGCAATGGTGTGCCAAAAAAAATATACTTTTAAAAAGTTAAGTTTTATTGATCTTGAAATTAAGTAAAATTAATAGAAAACAATGTAAATGGGTCCCTTTAACATTTACTGAGGATCAACCAAGTTCAGTAGAGCAGAACAGACCCGGGTTTCTGGGTCACTTCATTTTGGGACGTACTGAAGTGAACTGACGTGTTCAGAAGCATAACCTGTTTTTAGGGTTCGGGAGGGGGGGGGGGGACACTACTCACTCATGTATTTATATCTCTACGTTTTCAGTTTCTGTTTTCATGTCCAATATTCCCCTTCTGTGTTCGCAGTTTTTGTGTATGTATGAATTGTATGTGCTCTAAATAGTATGACTGTTCTAATTTCAATAAACAATTAGATCGAACTCTAGGTCACTTGTGTTAAATTTGCCCAAAAATTTATAACAGAGGTAGTACCTCAGTCCAAAAATGTCTGAAACAATATTTTTTAACCCATCCAGAAAAAAGTGTTATAAAGATACATTCTCAAACACCCTACATACACGTATACGTATAGGCCAACATACACGTATATGCTTAAATTCACGGATAGGTCTACATACACGTATAGGTCTACACAAATGTGTACGCGTACTTGTATGAGTACGTGCGAATATGCATAACCCAAGTAAGTTAGGTTTAACGAGTCAGGTTTAACGAGTTAGGTTTAACATTAGTGCCTCTACAAATCTCACATTCTGGAACCTTCTAACAACATCCACCCTGCCTAGCACGCTCTGATCCGTACAAGAATAAAACAAAACAAAAAAATCATTTGACCATTTTATTTGATAGTTAGGGTATAATTTTTGGTTGATCTCAAGGACAGGACAACAGCACACACCAAACGATAGAGGACCAGAGAGTAAAATTAAAATAGACATGTTCGGATCACACAATGTGGGCAACTTGGTGGGACAACATTGAAACAGTCGGAAGTCAGGTATGGCGGCTAGAGAACTTGGTGTGACGTCATGTATGGCGGCTAGAGAGCTTGGTGTGACGTCATGTATGGCGGCTAGAGAGCTTGGTGTGACGTCATGTATGGCGGCTAGAGAGCTTGGTGTGACGTCATGTATGGCGGCTAGAGAGATGGTGTGACGTCATGTATGGCGGCTAGAGAGCTTGGTGTGACGTCATGTATGGCAGTTAGAAGGTTTAGTGTGACGTCATGTATTGCAGTTAGAGGGTTTTTTGTGTGACGTCATGTATTGCAGTTAGAGGGCTTGGTGTGACGTCATGTATTGCGGTTAGAGGGCTTGTTGTGACGTCATGTATGGCGGTTAGAGGGCTTGGTGTGACGTCATGTATGGCGGTTAGAGGGCTTGGTGTGACGTCATGTATGGCGGTTAGAGGGCTTGGTGTGACGTCATGTATTGTAGTTAGTGGGCTTTGTCTGAAGTCTTGTATGGCGGCTAATGGCCATTGTGTGACGTCATGTGTAGCGGCTAGAGGGCTTTGTGTGACGTCAAATTGTTATAGTCAACGGTCATATTTGACGTCAGATGATGTATCCTAATGTGTGACGTCAATTGGTGTTGATGGTTTTCTTGTGTGACGTCATTTGTTTCTGTCTGAGGTTTTGATGACATTGTGTGACGTCAGATAGTATAACCAATGTCATCTACTGGTGTATGTGACGTCATATTCTGTCGACAATAGTTAAAACTATCGTCTGTTATTTAGTCATACACGTATTAGCCTTAGTGTGGTCGCTAGTCTTTAATAACATCAAATTCATTAATTAGTGCAAATTACCAATATCACCATTCACAATGAAAACAATTTTAAGTCCAACTTGACGCACTGAATGAAAAAAAACATTATATAATGTACACATATAATTAATTAAGCTTAATTATCTGAATTGATAAAAATCTTATATGAATCTTTAATTGACAATGAGATTAATTCACAAGTTGGTCACGTGTTTCCTGTAAAGTTCTGGGATCGTAAAGTCGTATCTAGATGATGTGGGAAAGTTCTTTAAACAATGAAAACATCTTTTGTAAACTATAGTAATTTAATCTTTACGTTTAGATCCTATTGTATATATGTATAGCTCGGGGTATTTCGGTAGAGACAGAGACGTTAACCCCCCCCCCCCCCCACCACCACCACTACCACTACAACCACCACGACCACCACAACCACCACTACAAACCACCACCAATATATTTCTACATATAGAATCTATCTCGTTCCCACTAAACTCAAAGTTCAGTTCACGTTACTCACCAGAGCATTTTATTTATTTATTTAAAGACAGGGTTAGGTGGGGGTGAGGCCGCGGTCAACTTGTGACGTAAGTATATATATATATATATATATATATATATATATATATATATATATATATATATATATATATATATATATATATATATATTTATTTATTTATTTATTTATTTATTTTTGTAATTACAGTACATAATTTTATAGGGAGTAAGCCAAACAGCAGGAATAATTACAGGTAAGGTCTCGAAGTCATTGATCGTACATGCATTTTTAACACAGCTTAAATACTCTCATCTTTAATTCTTACGTATATATATATATATATATATATATATATATATATATATATATATATATATATATATATATATATATATATATATATATATATATACGTGTGGTGTAGAGTAGACAAATGGTATTGAACCACGTTATAGAACCAATATGCACACATATATTTAAAATTCCCAGACAAAAAATATAGATTGAGACGAC